GGGACTTGAACTGCAGTTGACCACGTGGGAGTCCAGCACCTTAATTACCACATTACCTGCTGGCCCCTAAGGGCAGATGCCATTTATTATAAATATAAATTTATAAATAAATAATTTATTTATTTACTGTGCACTGTTCTACTAGGGATTTACAGTGAACACCTTTTTACTCAAATACTTTCTAACCAACACATGTATATGGTCAGGAACTCTAGAAATCTAGTCTTCCTAGAATTCAGGCATTACAGGAATTTGCCCGATTCTCTTTAATATAATTATTTAACCAAGGAGAAACTGTAACACATGGAGGATTATAGCTTTTGGTTTGTGTTTTGCTTTGTTTTCAGAGACTGTTCCTGCAGCAGGTAATTAACTCATTTGTATGGGACTTGAGCAAGCAGGCGGCTGGTAATACAGGGCAGAGTTTCCCATCCAGGAAGTGGTTTTGGAGTACATATAGCATCATTCCGAGTAGCATATAATTATATGTTATGGCATTTCCCTAAAGACCTTATGCCATAAACATATATTCTCCAACTTGGTCTCCCCAGATATGGTGCCATCTCAAGGATGTCACAGATTTTTTTTTTTTCCTATGGTTTGTAGCTCATGTCTTCAGAATAGGAAGCATAAAAGCCAGAGTTGGAACATTTTGTCCTCTGCCACTTTGTTAATGTGTGTTTTGGAGATTGTTCATTCAGGAATATCTGCAGTTATGGCTGGTACTTTAAAGGGTGCTTTTTGGCTAATCAGTTTGGTGATTAGTCTCAATATTCATGTTCACTTTTGTAATAAACCTATTGAGTCTGTTCTCTTCAAGACAGAAACCTTCACAGTTCTAACTGATAGAGATCTTGCCCTTAAATGACATGGTGGGATTTCTTTCCTCCCTTTGTCTGGTTTTCTTTGACAGGAGAGAGGAGCCCTTGTCTCTGCCACCACCCATTCTGATAGAGGACCACCAACAGAGGCACAGACATTAGGCATGCTAATAAGTGTATCTGTCCTTTCCTTCCAGGGACTGAAAGTCCCCAGGTTGCCATGATGCCATTACTGGTGTAAATGAATACATTTAAACAGAGAGAGAGTGTGCATGGGGAGGAAGGATTTCAGATGGGAACATGTCTGCTAAGGGTTTAGTTTTCTTACAGTTTGTCTCTCTACCTCTAGAATGTGGTCCCTGCCTAGATTCTCTGGGCCATGCCACTCCAATAGCACACAGAACAATGTGTGGGTGCTGGTAAGGAAGGGACAGGGCAACAGGCGTGTCTGGAGAAAAACAAAATGCAGCTAGCAACCTGCAACATGGAGGGAGTGCACAGCAGAGCCATCTGACCTACAATGCCAGCTGCCATCCTTAATTAAACTCCAAAGCAGCCTGTTCTCCCACCTCCACAATCCTGAAGAATGAGCAAAGGCCACTCGTCCATCAAAGCTAATTTGTTTGCAGCCCTGAGAGTGCCCCAGGAGGCCATCTCATTGTGTCTGTGCTCTGGAGCCTGTGCCTCAGTCACTCTGCGTGGCAGACGTGGGGCATGTGCTTGGTGATTCTCTGCACGGAGAGAAGCGCTCTGTTGACATCTGTTCTGAAATAGCTTCTCATCATTCTCCCCAGCCCTGTCCTCAGTCAGAGAGGCATTTCTTTTCCAACTGTCCTACAGAAAACCTTGGGATGCCAGGGCCCTGGATAAGTGAGGACCTAGAATTCATGTAGCCCCACTATGTGGAAAATAGAGGGAGGGAAGGCCTGTATATCTTCCATGCTACATAAATCTGCATGACAGCTTATTTTTCTGGGACCTACTGAATCCAAGATGGTAGGAATCTTCCCTATAACTGTAGCCATTTAGCATCCCTCTAGCTAGCATCCCAAAATGGGCACTCAGCACTGTGTTAGCAGAGACGAGTCAAGCCCTTATGGAAATCAAATGGGCAATTACAAGGAGAACTGTCACCTCTCTATTCACCGTTGACTATAGTGTGTTGATGCACTGAAGTCTGTCTGTTGACAAGACACTAGATGGTGGTCCCTTGAAAACCTGTGTTGGATTATACTTTTGATATCTCCAGAACACAAAGCAATAAGTATTCAACTCAAGACTTTCTGAACAGACTTACTATGTCTTCTAGGATTATCTAAGAGCATGAAGCTAACAGTGGCTACGGCTACAGAAAAATCACACCTAACACTCACTTACCTGACTGCACCCCTCCCCAAGTCTCTCGTTTATTTTTCACAAGATCTTTCTTCTCCTATTGTCATAGACCACTTTCCACTTCTCTGTTAATCCTTCGGGTTTACACACAGCTATGCCTCGGTGATACATACTCTACATGCATTACTGGCTCTGAAGATAATACAGGGGATATTAGTTAAAAGTAGGTGCTGACTGGGGTCAAATCTCTTTTCAATTACTTTCTAGCAGGTAATTTAGTCTCTCTGTGCCTCAGTTTCTTTATCTGTAAAGTAGAGATATAATTAGTACCTACTTCTCCAAATAAATTACGCTTTTATATGTAAAGAACTTAAAATAGGGCCTGGTGTCTAGTGAACCCCTAAAAAAATGTCAGACAGTAGCCAATGAAGAGTAGTAGCATTCATAACTCACTTAATATTCACGGACACCTCTAACATCGTTAACATTCTAAGTTTATATAAGAATAAGGTGCAAGTGGATTACCAGGGGAGCAAATAAACATTGAGTCGCCAGAAAAGTCATGAGGCAATTTTGCATAGAAAAATACATCACAACTTTTCCGACGACACAATAACTTCTAAAGTTTGAGGCAAAAGGTCTTGAGTTGAGTAAGGAAGCATGTGACAAAGCATACAGAATTGAAGATGGCTTGGTGGAAGGAAGGAATGTAAGTTTGTAAGAAAGAAAAGAGAGGAGAGTGAGCATGGGAGAGAAAAGCGAGAATAAAGAAGTAGGCATTAGGATTGAGAAGGGTCTTGTATTTTTTTTTTT